CCGCCCTTAGGATTTGGAAAAAACCCACGGTCAGTCAAACGTCAGGACCTTCGATGGGACCAAGGTGCTGAAATTTGGTCCATTTCCTGGGGCGTGGGACCCTGCGGTAGCTCTACCACACACACACCCCCTCCCCCCGCCCCCCTGCCTTAACGCGTTCCTTCCCCTTCCGAGGCACGCTTCACAAACCGTCCTTCTGGCAGCATCTGGAGAAGCCTGATGGAAGCAAACCCTTAAGCAGGGAACTCCTCTTCTATACACACGTGTCCTCATCCTCCTCTTGGGCACGCCGAACCCGTGCCACGGTGCACCACAGCCTGTGGGAGCTGAGACCCTTCCCGTGATTTTGGGCGTTCCTGCTGCCGGCCCAGGTGGGGACAGCTGATTGTGGGCCTGGATGAGAACAACCCGAGTCCTTGCAAGCTCTGAGCAAGAGCTCCATCGGTGAGGCAGGGGAGGTGTGCTGCTTGCTCACTTGTCCCTCCCATAGAATCAGGGATTCTTTCAGGTTGGAAAAGACCTTTAAGATCATCAAGTCCACCCGTTAACCCAGCACTGCCAAGTCCACCACTAAGCCATGTCCCTAAGCACCTCATCCATGTGTCTTTTTAAATAACTCCAAGTATGATGACCCAACCACCTGCCTGGGCGGCCCATTCCAATGTCGTTCCATGGGAACGGTCACCTCCGAGCCTGGGGATGGTCACCTCTGCAGCAGAGAGTTGGTCACCTGGGGGCCTGGACCCTTCACAGATGGACCCTTCCCCTGCCTGCATGTACTGTGCCTCCCTCAGAGCCAGGGGATGCTGCTACCAGAGCTTTTGATCCTGATGTGGACAAGAAGCAGCAAGAAGGAAAACCCGGTGTTTCCCAACACTGGCAGAGTGGCAGTGTGCCATAGCACATGAACTTTCATCGGGCCGAGCGATGAACGTGTGTCCCATCCGCCAGCTGGCGATGGCATCATTGCTAGGTGGTTCCACGCCAGAAACTCGAATGAACATCCCAAAACAAAAAGCAGGTATATGTTGGTATATGTAGGTTTCCACCTCCTCTCCTTGAGCAATGTAGTCCTTTCTGACAGTGAAACTAGGTCGTCCTGCGTACTCGCAGGAGGCAATTCGGTTTGTCTCAGGTGTAGAAAAAAGCATTCTTGTATTATATATGTGCTGCTCTCTGGGCAGTGAAGGAAATTACCCTCTCGAGGGGAAAGGAACTGAAAGGTTTGTTTGTTTTGAGAGGGTTTGATAGAAGGTGACATTTGAAACACCAAGTATTACTGTTAAATTTTATAGCTCAGAACTATTATTGGGCTATATCCTAGAGGTTTTACTCAAACCCATGTTTTTAAACACCGATTTCTGGAAGTTAAGCTAAAGTGTATTGACATCAAACACCTTAGGTATTTGGTTTACTTTTCAGACACTTTGAATCCTTGCAGGGTAGGGCCTATGGAGACTTCCAAAAGGCAAAAATTTCACTTCGGAGCTTTCGACCGCTTGTTACGAGGCCTGGTCTATTGTAATTGCATTGGTTTTTTTATCTGCTGTTATTTTTCCCCAAACAGTTAATTCAATCACAAACAGTTCTTAACTGTGAGCAGTAGCTTTAGTTCAAGAGCAGGACTTGATATTGGGGTTATTCATATGAATCTACACAGCCCATAACCTCTTCCTCTGAGGTAACCAGATGATCACTAAGATTAAATACTAACAAAAATTATTATGAACCCATATATGAATGAACTGATTTCGTGTGTGTGTCCGTCCCCTGTACCCGCCCCCCCCCCCAATATTTACTAGATAACTTGCCTGGGAAATGTGTCTTAGTTTGGCTCTCATGGTTGACTCTAAGCCTCCTCTTACCAATACCCCTGAGACTCTTCGGTTAATTTTGTGGCACAAAATATTTAATTATGTGCTCTGCCAAGTGAATACAAGGTCTCAAATTGAATTTCAGCTTCCCTGGGCAACTATTTTAGACATTTTGGTAGAGTGTATTTTTTGCGTATTTTCTGCGTGCCAGATCCTGGCCCCATATCCATCAAAATAAATCTTCAGTAGTTCCACTGAAGTCTTGGAACAATCCTAAGTTATGTTATTAAGGTCAGATTGTGACCCTGAAGCTCTGGCAGAGACCCAAACCAAGAAATTTGTGTGGGAAATTGGGGAGGGAATAAATTAGCACTTGCCTATGCTTTTTGTGGGAGTAAACTGTTACAAAGGTGTGAACTAAGATTAAAGGCTCCAAATCATGGTGGATATTGCTTTCCAGCTGTTTCTGCTGGAAATAGCTCTGTGTGTATGGGATGGGTCCTTATTTTCTGGTGGTGCTCAGTCTCAAATAACAAGCAATTTCACTTCCCCTGACTGTCCCTGTCCCGCTCACTCCCTCCAAAGAAAAATGACTTAATCTTGTAAAATGAAAGTCCAGGGGTAGGTTCTAGCTTGGTTTTGGTTTGTTGTTTTTTTTTCCTCTGGTGAATTTAAACTGTCGTTTTTCTCTCTACCAAACAAAAGTGGCAGGTCTAAACAGTATTAAGTAATTGTGGTTGTCATACTGCACATTGTACTGCAGAAAAAATTAATTGCTGGGTTTTTTTCTGCCCGGGGGTTTAAGCAGCGGTCCCTTGGTCTGACTGGGAGCATGTCATTTCCCTCCCGATTGAGACTGCGTACCGTCAGGCAGCATGAAAGGATTCCTGTACAGCTGCACTGGGTGAGTGGGCGGGCATCTCATTCAGTAATAACATCTAATTTATACAGCCATGAAAATCTACGGCTATAAATAAACATTTCTGACTGACTTTGCATACTTACTCAAAATAAAATGAGAGGGAGAAACAGGCTGGAAAGAGAAATCTAGTGTAAATGTCATAAAGGCCAGATCCTCACTCAGTGTACCTCAGCAAAGCCTTTTGGAAATCACAGGGAAAATGTGAATTTGTGACCAATGATGTATGTATTCCTCCTTACAGGGCTTCACGTGCATCAGACAAAGGGGCAAAGCAAACCTAGCAGCCCAGCAGTCGTGTTTTGGGGACAGGTGTTCCTGATCGCTTTCCCAAAGAGCATGACCGGGATCCAGCTTTTCCATGCAGGATGTAACAGAGAGCAGTGCCTCTTCTCAGCCCTTTTCACAGAAAGAAACTCCCCTGCTGCTCCACTGTGTTTATCCTCTCCTGCCAAACCCCTGTAGTCCAGCAGCAAAAGTACCACACTGGATCCCAAAGGTAAATCTTGGTGCAAGCAGGAGCCAAGGACAAGGTCTGCTGCTCATCTTCTGGCTGGATGTTGAAAGAAGTGCCCCTCCATGTCAAGGCCCAGGTGTTGTTTTGAGTTTTTGACATTTAAACTGCTCGCACAGGACTATTAGTACAAAAAAAAAAAAAAAAAAGCCCCAAACAAACAAAAAAACCCCAACACCCCACAAAAAAAACCCTTCAAAAAACCCTGTACAAGGAGTCTCCTGAACTTTCTCCTCTTCCCTAATTCCTTCACAGTTTTTCTTCTGTCTGCCTCTCTGAAATATTTCCTTTGACCAGCATCTTTCAGCTGAATTCTTTCCATGTTCTCTTTCAGCTTCAACAGAAAAGGAGGGAGGGGGGTGTGTGTGTGTGTGTGTGTAATTGCTTACATTCCCCTTGGAAAGCTAGCTGGAGCGAGTTATCTAGATAAGCTGGGAATTTCCGAATGGGCACACATCTTCCGTTGAGTTAACTTAGTTTACAGTCTAGCCCTAGTATGGTAACTTCCCAGACTAGAATTTTATCAGGTGCTTAACATGTGAGAGGAACAACCTTATGTATACTTTTTTTTTTTTTTTAATTGCTGACAGGCAGCTTGCAATGTGTTTCATTTTTACTAAGCTCCAGCAGCATTTGAAAGATGAAAACACCACCCCTGTGAACTGTGTGCACAGTAGCCCTAAGCTCAGGGCTTTGGCAGTGAAGATGGAGTTAGGCATTTAAGTACTGCAACTAGTTTCAAATCCTCGCTTAAATGCAAGGCTAATAACAGAGATCTTTCCTTTTTCATGTTGACCATTAAGGAACACTTAGGCTACTGTCGGTTTTGCCTGTTTATTGGAGTTTGCAAAGCAGATCTCCAGTGTTTCAGACGTTAACAAGATGTTGAGGCTAATAACAGAAATCAACTATATTGAGCAAGATTAGTAAACATGTGAATAGAATGTAATTATATGGCAGGCAGCTTTATGTTAAACAGTGCTTTAAATTAACATGCTTTCTGTCAAAGCAATCATACAGTCAGTATAATTAGGTTACTTTTGCTGCAAGATTAACTGAAACCAAGAAAAAGGAAGAAAGTGATGCATTCAGATTTCCTGTTAAAATGGAGGGGAGATAGTATGCATATTAATATTCCAGAATGTTTCTCGTTAGAAGAATTTGGCTTCATGGTAAACTTTCTGAGCAGACATTGCTAATTACAGTCCTTGTTAGCCCAATTTGTTATCTAGCTAGCTTGGAAGTCACAGCACTGTTAAAATTGCCCCTCCTCCTAATCTTTTCCAGACTCGATGAAGGGTAATCCAAACAAGAGCTGGCTTGCATTCACAGGTCTTTTACAGTGTGGTGCCAAGCTCATGAGGGAGTTCGTTTACCAGTGACGAGCTTTAACCATGGACACATCCTCACGTACATTGTGCAAGAGAGGAGAAATCTGTGTAAACAGATGAACACAAGTTTCTTATTCATAGCAGTTGCAGAGTTATCATGTAAGAGGCAAACATTTCATATTTTCCACCAGTTTTCCATATGTCTGATGACATAATGGCTTCACCAGAAGCTGCAGTGCATTGGAGAAAGGATTTATCACAGCTGCATTTATTTTCCTCTACTTCATGGCTTCAGTATTCATGGAGAGATTGTTTGGCTTGAAGAGGACGATTCACTTGCCCTTCCGCCTGTAGTCCCGTATTGCTATTGAATCTCCTGTTCGGAGGCAGAGGAGAACAGATTATTTGGGGAAAAAAAAAGGCATGCCAAAGAAGTCATCTCACAGAATTAGCACACTCTTGGAGGAGGATGTGAACCTGGCCCCAGCCTCTCCACATCCCTGGGGAACCAAACCTGTCTGGGAGTGGGAGTAAGCTATGAGTGGGTGGCTTGGACCAGCTGCCAATGCCGAAGTGGTGCAGAAGTCAAATGAGCCCGGGATGTCCCTAGCAAATAAAGGTTTACTTGACTTCTGAGGAGGGATTTGAAATCTGCCATGGGCCACAGCCCTTGCTTTGCTAGTGGGGAAAAAGTATCTGCCACCAAACAAGCCTAACTTGGTGCAAGAATTAACATAGAAAACCTTAAAAATATGGCTCATCTGAAAAGGCAGGAGATGATTCATCCTGCAGGTAGGATATCTGGAACATCCTCACATGCCTGGCCAGGATGGAAGAGGACCTACCAAAGACCCACGGCTTTTGGAAGCACCAGCTAGAGTCCAGATGTGCTACCATGGGGCAATAACCAGATACATTTGGGCACCCTTATCCAAAGCACTGTCTCAGTCTCTCTTCTTCCCTGTTGATGATTGTTTACCCACAGGGAACCTGCTTTTAAAGGTGCTTTCCTTGTCCACAGACCTCAGAGGCTCTGAAACACTATTTGCTGTGTTTTATTTATCACCAGCCTGTATAGCATTTGGCAATTGATCTAGTATGGAACAAAATCCTGGTACTTCTTCCCTCCCATATAATCCCAGAATTATTTTGTACTGACCAAATAGAAATTTTAAAGATGAGGGAGAAAAAACTCCACCAAAAAAAGACTGGACTCTTAGGCCAGGGACAGCATATTAGCAAGCACCTGTTAATGTCTGGCTTCCAGTGATGGAATCATAAGCCCTGGGTCACTAGAGCTTCCGACCCCGTCTCCCTCCAGTAGATCATCAGATAAACTTGTCAGCAAGAATAGGGCATGTGACAGATGGTGCAGGTTTCCTTTAAATAGCTAGACTCCGCTACCCGACGGGTAAATTGCAGCTTGGGGGAGTGACAAATAGGAAGGGTATAAATATGCCATCACAGGTTTGTGGCACAACTAGGATGAACGGATGAGGCAAAAGTAAATATTCATAACTGGTTTGCAAAATTTGGGCTGTAAATCCTCTCACATTTGGGTTCCATTCATCATTGGCAATACCGTGAAGTTGTAGGTATAAACATTAGTTGTTCATCAAAAGAAACAGGTATACCCTGGGCCCTTATTCTTGTTTTTTTAAAGGCATGATAGGCCAAATGAAGATCTCTTCTGGAAAAGAGGCTCAGTTTAAAAATTCCTCCCGGACTCTGTAGTAACAAAGGGTGGAACCTGTGCCTGGATTGATAACTACCTGCAGAACTTGAGTATGTTAATGCATACAAAAACTGCAGTTCATAAGCGTCTACCAGTACAATGGCAGAATGACATCATACCCCACACAGTTTCCCTTTGCATCCTTTTATTTGCCACTCTGATTTCTGCAACCTCAACAGCTGCTCAGAAGAATGAGAACATCAAGAATTCAATCGTGTCGTAGCATTGCTTTGCATTGCGCAGGTTTACGCACTTGTCACATAGGCTGGGTTTCCCAATAGCTGACTACAGCGTATTCAGGGAGCTTGGTTTCACCAAAAATAAAACCCAGGGAAAACAATCGATTCCCAAAACATGTTATATGTTTCTCAAAAATGCTCTTAATGCAAAAATACTCCAAAAGGAAGAGGAAAAATCCATTAAAGAGCAGATTGCTGTTGAATTTGAGCTCAGCCTTAGGTGAACCCATTTCAGCAATATCTTCACAAGATATTCAAGAGCTCGTAGAAGATCTGGAGGAGCACATCCATCTGTGCACTGGGCATGAGGAAGTTACTCCACTGTCTTTTTCCTGAGTACAATGGCTCTTACTTTTGTTGTACTGCCTCACCCCTTGTTTTACAATATCTTTAATTTTGGCTTTTGTCTTCACCCCCCACAGTGTTCCTCAGGCAGGTACTGGCCAGAGCTTTTCCCAGTTAAATCACTGGTGGAGCAGGTACCTGTGCTAGCTATAGCTCCTATCTACCTACATTTCCAAGTACTGAAATGAAGCAGCTGATGCATGTTACCTTGATGTTGGTTTTGGGGTTGGGTTTGAGTTCGGGGTTTTGTTTTTTTTTTTTCCCCAGGTGTGTTAAATGGAAGGAAAATAAGTCTGCTCCATCTTCAAATGGTGGTGCCAGAGAAGAGACCTTGCCTGAAATGTTGCTCTGTCTGATGTGGAGAACCTGGGTCTCTATTTGTCCTGAGGATCTGTGGTTGTCTCACCAGGAGCAAAACCTAAGGGAAAACTGCTTTGCTTTATTTTTGAGGGTTCTCATTTGACCAGTCAAAGTAAGGTGAGATCAGTTGCCTATGTGATGTTTCCTACCCATCGGGAACAGCAGAAGCTACTGTGTGGTTCATCTTTGGTACTTGGACCCTGCAGCCAAATTCTTGGCTGAGGTAAATTTATGGCAGTAAAAGAATCAGCCCATTGTTTCCAATTATCCTCTTTGGAGTTTCTGTATTACTCAGCATTGTCTAGTACTCCAGAAACTCTGGGATTTAAAACAAAAAAAAAAAATCATTACTGGTACTATTTTCTGTGCCTCTCAGGCTGTGCAGCTGGGTTGCCTTAGTTACCACCAATCCAACTGTGCAAGTGGAGGGAGAGGCACATGAGAGATAATACATTTTTAAAACCTCCAATACTGTATGAAGCAGTTTGTCTATAAATAATAAAACAAATTTAGGGTCTGGCATCTTTTGATTGTTCTGAAAAGGAAAAACAAGGTTATATTATTTGACAGCCTGGATTTTCCAGCTCTTGGAAATGACGCTGGATCTTTTTGGTCAAGCACAGGACAAAATTTAAAAATGACTTGTTTGAAGCTGGAAGCTGCCATCCATAGACTGTGGAATAAGTTGGAACTGAATATACATTTAAGGGTGAAGAAGAGTAAATATTTATGTAGCTAGCTTTAGGAAAAGCAATAGTGGCCTGAAACTACAAAGGAACGTGGTAGAGAGCCCACATGAAGTATGTGGTATGCTGTGGGACAGCCTTCATTTGCAGCATAGCCTGCCACAGGGTGCAAGTCCAGAGGAAAACCAGGCTTGCCACTCACACAGAGCTGTTTGTTAACCATCTCTTGCACCTTTGAATAAATGCAACTGATCTGGGCACAGATTTTCTTCCTTCAGGTGGGAAAGAAGGAAGCAGCAGCAGCTGCCCTGGAGCCTTTTCCTCTGGGGCAAAGCCTGGCTGCAGCAGCCCAGGCAGGGCTCTCCGCCTTGGCAGATGCCACTGGCATCAGGTCTAATTGCTCCAGGTGTATCCAGATGTGCCTATAGAAACCTAGTGGGCAGCTGCATTCCTCTGTAACTCGAACTGTGCCTTTGGGGGACCGAGCAGGAGGTAAAAGGGAGGGCGGAAGTGCCCTTCTATGTGACCTTTCTTTTGGGGGAGGGAGGAAGTGGGCAGGGTGGAGGGTATGGAGAGATGAAGAGGTCTGTCCTCTACCTACCACCATGGATTGTTTTGCTTTGTGTGTGGTTGCTTTGTGGTTTGTTGTGTTTGGTCCCTCTCCACCTCCCCCGCCCCACCCCCCGCAGGGTCATTCTAACTGCATTATCTCCCTTATTCTGCTGGGAAGGTGATACAGGAGAGGGCAGGATGAAAAAAGGTACGTGGAGCCATTTTTGCTGCTAGAAGAAAGTTATGTCGGAATTGCAGCTTCATTCAGTTTGCAGCTGTTTTTACTCCAGCGATGCTGAGCCAAAGATTTGCCTCAGTCAGGAACATATTAAAACTCTGGCACACTCTAATTTGGATTAGCTTCCCTCTGGCTGTGTTTCAATACTTACCGGGACCTTGTTATCAATACCAACTTAAGGAAGTCCTACCCTTCTCTTGTGTGGACACAGCTGGGAAATGGATTGGGAAAATGATCCGAGTTGAAAACAACCCCTGCTCGCAAGAAACAGGCATGTGCGGAAGGAGTGAGGGGTGGTGGGCAGGAGCTTATTGAGGACTTACTGCTGCCAAAGCCCCCGTATTGTCAAACTGCAGCCTCAGACACCGCAGAGCTGTCAACTATTGGGGTGCAGCTTGCCACTTCTTTTATCAGAATACAGCAAATCCAGGGAATGCTGCTCACCCTGGGGGTGAAGAGCTGAGGATGAATGTGAATCAGCGAGCAAGAGTTTGCAGAGACATGGGGAGCTGTAACTTGGGGGGAGTGTCCTGCACATGGATAAAAACACCATGTCATTTGTAAGGCAGTGATTTTGCAACTCCTTTGAAAAATATCAGGTATTCATGGAGAAGCAGACCCACCAAACACAGGACTCCCCCATGGATTGTAAGAGCATGCCAGATACCAACAGAGGCTATCATGTATGCCGTGGTTTTATATATATTTTCTCTGAGGTGACATTCATGTTGTCACAACTGGGGGTGCTTTTCAGCCTTTCCGTGTGCACAGAAAAGAAAGTTGAGCCCTTGCCCCATTTTCTTTAGAGATCTCTGAAATTAACATCTCTTAAATGAGTGCATTTAGTCAGCTGTTCAAAATGCATCTAATTTTTGCAGTTAATTTGATCTCTGGTTGGCACAACCTTTTGTTTGACCAATTAACACTTTGGAAATCAAATTATTTTAGTTCTGATTATGTCCAATTTATGCATCAGGCATACTCTAGGCCTGAAATTACTAATACTTACTCAGTGATGAAAGAATCTGATACCTAGATGTATCAGATATCAGATCTCATATAAAGATTCATACTGTCTTGTAGTGCTGATGTGGTCTTTGATTAGTAATAGTTACTATTTATGTGATGCCTCTTAAACCAGAGCTAGTGCAGAAAGGCTCCAGATCTGTTTTCATTTACCAGCAACCCTCATCTCATATCACATTTATGCAAGGATAGAGTTTGTCCAAAATTTCCAAACATGGACATGTAGAGCAAGCATCTTATTTACAGAGGTATCAAGCGGTGAGGTTCGTTAATCAGCACATTTGAAAGTCAGTCTGCTCCTTTTAGGTAGCTGAGTACGGATGGTGAGAGACTAGCTACAGACACTCTACTTTAGCTTGACAGGCATGTGAGACTTCACAAAACGGATCAGGCATCAAATGTTCCCCGAGAACAGAGGGAGGTTGTCTTATTTATTTTCAGAGGTGTTTTTGCAGTGTTTTTTCTTTCATCAGAAAGCTAGTTGAAGAATTTGCAAATGTTCACACATTTGTCCTAAATAAAATACACACAATTTCCTGACAGGAACACTTTCATCCTCAAAAACTTAATCTTGAATGAAAAAGGAGAGAGGAATCAGAAAGGAAAATTATGATAGCAATCCCATGCCAAACCACCAGAGCTGCTTCATCAGTTCATTGTTTCTTTGACCTGTTGACTGTGACCCCCTAAACTACTAACCTTTCTTCCCTAACTGCCCATTTGTCCAAGGAAACTGCCTTTCATTCTTTTTAAATCAGCACTGATTATACCACTAACCAAGCAGAAGGGAGATGCTCTCAACAGTTTGTAAAACTTTCAGAAGTGCTCTCTTACGGAGCTGCTGCGATGCTTTCACTTGGATACACTACTGCCTTCCTGTAAGTTGTCAGCAAACAGTGCCATTCCCTGGCCTGACAAACACCACAAGATGCAGATATAAGAGTTTTAGCCCAAGTGATTTGGTTCCTCTGGACCCTTCTTTGAGAAATAATGCAAACTCCAGGGATTATGCTGGTAAGAGGTGCTTCTTGAGCCACATAAGAGAAACCTGGCCCAGCCTTTTACCTGGTAGGGCTGAGATTCTTGCTCAAATTTGTTGTCTGTTTGTTAGTAACCAGTTAGGACCTGGCAATCTCAGACACCCCAATGCCACCCTGCAGTGTACAAGGGCCCCCTTCCTCTCCCCACCTGCCTAGGCGATGACAGGAATTCGTTTTAGATAATATTTTTTTCACAGGGATCTAAATGAAAAACAAAACTTGGACTGACCCCATATCATACGGTTGAGGAACTCCCCGAAGTTGTAGAAAGAGACGATGATGGCAAGGCTACCGGCAAAAAAGGCTGCTAGCCCGGCTGGGCTGAACAAAGCAAACAGAGGATATACCCACTCTCCCGTTACAGAATAAATCCACAGGACCCTAGACAAGGAGAGAAATGACCTTTGGTTAGGACCACTCAGTTAGAAGAACCACTTCATGATTTTTAACTCCTGAAGGGCCAAGTTATCAAAACAATCTTGATACAGAGAAAATTAGCTCAGCTGTTGATGTCTCTCTTCGGCATTTGGGGTATTTGCTGTGAAGCACACTTGAGCCGCTGCTAAATTAGATGAGTTTCAGCGCAGGCTGAAACACACGCAACGTTCTGCTGTCATCCTGGTGGCATTGGCTATTAACAGCAGTAAAATAACAGTAAAATAGCAAAATGCTCAGAAATAGGGATGTGCACTTGACTATTCAAATAAGCTCTCACGCATGTGCTTGCTTTTGAGCTACAACAGGTTTTTAGCTCCTATCCAGATCTCGAGTGTCTGTGGAGACAAAACGCTGTTTCTCATTGTCTGTATCCTGCTGCTGTTGACCACTGTTTTGGGAAGTGGAACGAAGTTTTCAGGAGGCAAGAGGGCAAGGGGAATTCTCCTGCACCTTTTCTCTTGCTCTAAGGGGAGGAGGAGGAGAAAGCAGATAGGTAGGAAAGGGATGTAGTTGCTTTGCTCCTTTATGCCAGGACCATTAGCAAATCACTGTTAGAAGAAGGAAAAGAAGGAAAAGGAAGAGAATGAATATGCCTGCTTTATAGGGCTTAATTTCTTCTACTGAGACCCGCTCTTTCTGCCTTTCTGTTCTCTCAAAAAGCATTTTGTTGTGGCTGTCAGTTCACTGATAATATTTTCATTGTTTATGGCTCATAAGACTGCCTGGTAGCAAATGTCTGAACTTAAGAATATAAAAACGGTCTTTCTATATTAAATATAGGAAAAAATATTTTTTATGGATAAAATTACAGATATTGTATTGAATATGTCAAGAATGTAAAAGATAGGGCAGGTCTTCAGTGATCGTTGGAATGTGCCGTTCTAATGATGGGCAGTCCTTCCCTAAAGAAAAACCCCTTTGGTTGCAAAGATTCCTACAAGGTTTAATTCTTGATTAAAAACCCACACATCTGAGGAGCATGCCATACTTTCCACCACCAGTGCTAACATGGGAATGCAATCCCACTCTCTCTGATGGCACCCAGCCTGCCAACTTACGCTGAGCATCACGCCGTAAAGAAAAGTGACAAACAGGCTGCCCCACCAGCCTGAAACTGTGTCACGAAACTGAGGAATGGGAGAGTGCTAAGTGTAAAAAAAAAAAAAAAAAAAAAAAAAAAGCCCGAAAAGATTATATCTCCTTTTTCAGTTAGAAAAGGATGGGGTAGGGCATAAAAAAAGTGTGTTTTTGCCTTGCCTGTAAAGAGACGTTCACTAATCCCCACCTAAGGGGTAGAGTGGAAAAATGGAGGGGGTTGGTAGTGGAGCTGTCTGGGCTGAGCATGGAAATGTTAAGTGTAGAAGCTCATTTTCATTATTTAAGGTTCTTTCATCAAACAAACTGGGCTGTGAAACAGTTAAGTAATTAAAAATATAATAGTAAAGCCTGCACAAAAGGCCACAGAGAGGCTGAGCAGAAATACTGAAGACAGAGCGCTAACTGGAGCCCCTGCAAATGTCAGTGTGCGTTCTTCACCTCACACGGGTACTGTTTTCTTAATGTCTCAAATAGTAAAACAGAGAGTGACAACCGCCTTTATTTTAGATAATGAGGAACTAGATTATCTTGGTGCAATTTGGCCAGCTGGCGTGCCTCATATGGAGCACTCTGACCCCTATTTTCAACCTAAACACCTGGCTATGCAGGAGCACCAAAGCACTTTCAGCTTTCTGACTCGGTGGGAGCTGTGTGATAACAAGTTCTTTCTATCTTGTGATATACCTCCAGGTTCCTGAACTTACTCATTTTGATCACAGAATGGCTGAGAGTTTATGGTTTTATTGGTTTTTGGTTGGTTGGGTGGGTTTTTTGGTCTGTGTGGGGTTTTTCTTGTTTGTTTTTTGTTTGGTTTTGGTGTTGTGGTTTTTTTCTCCTGGGGAATTTCATAAAATGCACCCCACAACTTGCAAATATCTATTACTCATTTCTCACAGGTAATCACCTGTTCCATATACACGCAGGATTCAGAGGATTATTATTCTGAAGATTTCATTTCACCAAATTTCACTTTTACCAAGATTTTACCTTGGACATCAGAGAGTGAGTCAGAAGCAGACAATGCCCAGAATTATGGGGAAGACAGATTGAGACAGATAGAGTCTGCGCGCAGGCTAAGAAGATTTCCTGTTAGTTGAAAGCTGTTGTCCGTGGTTGCAGGGAACCTAGACAAGGGGGCAAAAAGAAAGCAGGCAGGAGGTTCCTTGCTGTCTTGGGAAGGGGGGGGAAGCAACAGTATTGAAATCCAAATGTCTTTTGTCCGGTTGCCAGGGCCCTGGGACACAGGGAAAAAGTTCCCTAAGGTACCACCTTCCACTCATGAGCCCAGGAGCACCATGCAACATCAGTTCAGAGAAGACACTGGGAGGGCTCAAATGTGTTGATGCCTGGATCCTCATCCTTTGATGAGGATTCAGGTCCTGGCATGAGCCATGTCTCCCGTGGGTGAAATCGCTCAGCTGACAGGGGCTTTAGGGGAAGCATGGCACACATGACTGCAGTAGTTGCCTGGAGAGCTGTCTGGACTCAAAGATGGTAAAAGCCAAACGCTGTCAGAAGACAAGCAGAACAAAGCTGGCATTAAGTAACTGGATGAACCAGAATCATAGAAAAGGAATTTAGGAAGCCGTGGTCGTAATCCTATTAGGCTCTGGGCTGTATTAGGATGAATAGTTCCTAACTTGGTTTTGTAATGTAGCAGTGAAGTCCATTGCTTCCACAGCCACTCTGGTGGGTTTCAAGTCACAAGAGCATTTCATCTGTGCAGTTTAATTTCTATTCCAGGTTTTCATTTGGTGGGCTGAAGGTAGTCTCTAGCTGAGTGTGGGAACTGGTGAGTAGGGATGGGAAGGATGTGTTCCCTCACAGCCCCAGTGACTTCTCAGAAATCTTTGCATGAGGGCAGATCACCTCCCTGCTGACCAGTTGTTTTATATCCTCTATCCTAGGGCCTGGGTGTTTCCTGAGCTCTGGGGAGGGATACTGCAGCATACCCTGAAACTATACAGACCCATTCCTGAGCTGAGTCTCAACATAAGGCACCCTCAGAGTGGTTTGAAGTGTTGGCAGCTGCTCACAGTTAGATAGAGCAGGCAGTGCCTCCAGACCCCGGCACTGCAGCTGGGATGCAATGAGCAGGAGCAGACCCAAACCCAGGTCCAGGGGTGCATTACACAAACACAGAGGAGGTGGGTGGACAGCTATGGGCTGGGGAGGCAGCGGGGGCTGGTTGGATATAATTTATTTTCTCAGGATCACCCTCCAACTGGTTGAAGATCAACTGTGGCACATTGCTGGAAATGTAGGCGGTGTCCACCAGCGGAGTGGGAGGTGGTAGTGGGGCAGATGCCTCCTTGCTGCCCATCAGTTTGCACCTGGCTCTGAGTATCATTTTCTATCTCAGATTTCTAAACCCAGCCATGTGTCCCTGCCAAATACCACACTGAGTTTTACTCTTCTTCTGCTCCCGTGACCCCCAGACCTTTGAGATTTGGTGATTTTGCTGTAAGCAAGAGAGTGAGCGGAGGTGAAGTTGGTGATACTGATAGAAATAAAAAATCCAGCCGAGCAGAACTAATTAAAAGTAATCCAGGGTTTATGGCAATTTAGTTGTTTTTCTGTAGGAGATCTTAGAAGAGCAGGAGACCTGTATTGTGTTTGAAGAAACCTGCTCTGCCTATGTCTGGAAATAGCTTTCGTGGGTTTCAGCTGAGGTTTAAATGACTTCTCCACAGAACAGACTGCTGTCTGCCATGTGCCTAGCAGGGAACTTAGGTTTATGTACAGCATTTGGCCTTGTTTTACCAAGTAGGTCACCTGACGAAAATGTTTAAAGTACATAATTCTTACCAACTAATATACAGAAAAGCGACAAATCCTAGTAGGACCAATCCCTTCTTCTTTGCTGGGTAACGGTGCGGCGTGGCAAGGATTTCCAGGACAGCAAATGGCAATACAGCCGTGTGCTGAGGAGAAAAAAAGAGTCTGTCACTGACCGATCGCAGTGCCTTGCCTTTGGTCACTGCTGATCACAAAGCTCAAGAGCCTGCCTGTGAGCAAAGGATTATCTAACAATACTGAATGTAATGGTATACAAATGCACATAATTCTTTTTTTTTTTTTCTTTCATAGTGAAAGAAGTACCCCTGCAGTAATGAGCCCAGAAATCTTCTTGGTTAGTATGCTGTGAAAAGTACTGTAATGAGGTCTGTCCGTAGAATGATCTGCGTTACTCTATAATAGGTGAGCTTTCCTTTTCCATTTTATAATGCAATACATATTTTGGTAATTCCCGTTAGGGTACAAAAGATATTGAGGTCTGTTTTTATGTGCACTTGAGGGTGTCAAAAGTCTCCTCCTTGAACTCATTAAGCAATTGCTGAATTGTCTTCATGTTCTCTTCAAGTCGTTATTGTATTTTATATATTGCCACTTATTATTTACTCCCATGCAATTGCAGTGTGTTGTGCTTCCCTTGGTAAACTGAAAAATGTGGTGGTAAACATACAGAGGACTTAAGGGAGTTGTGATTCAAGATGATGAATGAAATTCAAACAATCTTAGCCAAGGGTTAGTAGAGAGTTACCTTGCCAGAGCAAAGCTGCTTCTCTTTTTTTGTCAATGAGTTTGAATTGTATTAAGCAGCTTCACTTTCAAGGGCTTTTTATGATGATGACCACCTGAGCACGGAGAATTTTCAGCACAGGGCATACAGCTTGGTGGCACTGTCAGTTTTGTGGTAGGGAGCTGCCTCCAAGAGAGGTGCTCCTCACTGTGAGGAGGTCGGGAGCACAGCAGAAGTCCTTCTGGGCTCAGGTGTTAAATGGACAACGTGGGGCTCTTGGGATGCTGACGCCTCAACTTGTTCATTGACTTGTGGCAACTTCAGAAAGTAATTTGTTGGGGTGAAATTTCCTCATGAAAAGTTTTGTAATACCCCCTGTGCAAGCAAAACAATAGTTTTAAGTTGCAATACGCAGGTTCAAAGGCCTAAACAATGCTGGGGGGCAACACAGCAAAAACAGTCAATGAGGTGTAACAGGAGAAGACTATAGCAAGAACTGTAGCTGACCAGTTGGTTAAATTCCTGTTAATTAAGCACATAGTTTCACAGGTAGATGGGGGGAAGAATAAAGGAACCACAACAGAGAAAGATCGACTTTTAAACAGAAAAACCCCACCAAACTAACGATTTTTTTTTTCTTTTCCCCTAAAGGCACAACCTGCTGGGTGTATTCTATGAAGTTTCCTCTTCTCCTAAGGAAGTGGTTCTAGGGCCTTCAATGTACGTATTTGTCAGAAGCTGTGCTGAGTATCTGATATGGTAGTGTCATGTCCAAGTTTTATTGCTGAGTATTTATACTGTAAGTTGCCACAAATACATATGAAATTCTGTAAATGCACATGGAGTTCCATACGGCACACATTAAAACATTCTTTACCTATTTAAGAGGCAAACACCCATTTTTGTCTGCTGCTGCCCAGTGCCAGCTCACTGGAAGCTGAGTGTCCTCCCTTGGGGACCCCAGCACACCCCTGAGATCTGCTATTCACACCTGGCTGTCCTACTACCAAAACAGCCCTTCCATCTCAGTTATCATTTTTCAGAGAAAGGTGACAGACAAGATTCATTTGATGTTCCGGTTCCTCTCCCTCACTGGCACAGAGATTTTCCTCTGCCCTGTTTCACAAAGATATTCTTCAGCTCTGCAACCCCCTTGGTTGATGGCAGAGGTCTCCTCGTATCAGTACAAGTGGTTCCTGGATTCATTTAACCAGAAAAATGTCTTCGGTGCACATGGTTTTCAGATATAATCCCTGTAACGGTCGTTTTGTCAGAAATCTATGTCTTGGGCTGCTTTTAGAATGACCTAAAAAAAAAAAGGAGTTGAATTTTCCAGAGGTGGTGAACATTTTGTCTTTGAATAAAGCCAAAATGCTCATGCAAGACAGCAATGATGAAGAACTGGGACTTTGTCCTCACTTTTAGGCTTTAGCCTTTCACAGTGGATTTGTCCATTATATGAAGCGGATGTAAGTCCTGGTTTCCATCTGATACCCAGTGGGCTACAACATTCCTTTGAGATACATGAAATGTCCTTGCTAGTCTTTTAATTAATTTAAACACTTTTAAAAACTATAAGCTGGTTGTTCCAGCTGTATTATTGCTGTCCTAAGAGGGATTTAGTAGGAGTGACCTGGTGAAATAATCCTTTGTTAAAGTGAACAGTTTTAAGGTGGGGGTTATTTTATATTCTTATTTTCTTAGCTTGGGGCTTTTTGTTCTCAATGAACGTTAAGTAAGTACAAATCAGCAGTATCATGCCGCTTTAATAGAAAAAGCCTGTGGCATTCTGGGATGGTAGTAACAGAAATACAGTGTGTAAGAAAGACCTGAGACACAACTATGCGGCTCCACTTGAATTGGTGGGGTTTTGGCTGACACCCTGATTTAGGGGACCCCGTTTAGACAGGTGCAGGTTATTTGGAGCATGTCCAGGAAAGGACAGCACAAACAGCAAGAAAGTAGGAATGGAAAAGCAGTCCAAGGACAGGCGTAGAAATTAGGACTGAATGAGTTGTTGCGTCTGGAGAGGAAAGTGACATTGGTTTCAAAGGCTTGAGAGGTTGATACGGTGATGACTGCGATGGGCGAGTTCTCTATGTCCATCACAGAGAGGACCAAGGGCAATTGGCTCGGTTTTCCTCAGTTTTCAAGAGAGATGTAGCTTTATATTGGGAAAGCAGAAAAATGACCACCCAGGGTAGCTGGGCAAGCCTTTTACAGGACACAGTAGACCTGTTGAGTGTGGTTGAGTGATCCAGCCTCAGTTTTCCTCTGAACCAGCTACCAAGGGCTGTGCAGACTCCAGAGCTGTTACAAGTGCACGCATCAGAGGATGAAAGCATGGAAAAATGGGGTCCCTCCTCTACTGATGGGAGCAAACTATCATGATTAAGACCACCAATGTCTCCACTCAGCCAACTTCTTCTCTTTCTCAGTTCATACAACTTTGTGCTGCCTTGAGTTTAGCCAAGAGTTTAATGGAAGGGGTAGGCTCAAAGTTCTGCTCTGCCTGATTCACAGGGGCTTGAAGGCAAGCTTCCCATTGCCTGGAAGAGTGCTTCCACCTCCAAGAGCAGCAAAAGTGTTCAGGAGTGGGGCTGTGTGCCTCTTGTTTTGTGAACAGATTGTTAAAGGTCTTGGATCCATCCTGATTTGGAAAAAAAGAAGGAAGAAATTTGTTGTGGCATAGGAAAGCTGCTGGTTTTTTCCCAAGTCCACTGATGACACTGGCACATGACTTATTAAAGTGTGTTCTGTGTCTTCTGTAGAAATAATTGTATCTTTTAAAAAGTATTTTGCCATATATTAATTCAATTTTATTTATTAATAATAAATTATTAGCTTATTCCTAGCTAGGGAGAATCACTGTATCTATTAACTAGACATACTTTTTGTAGCCATTTAAACTTGCCATGCAAATGCCTTCTGGAGACAGATTTCTACAGCAGTTCTCAACTGCTTCATGCACCCTCAGGATGAAAACATTTGGTTTAGCATTATTCCTTTGTGGATATAAAGCTTCTGTGGGTTTTTTTTGTTGTTGTTGTGGGGGTTTTTTTGTTCTGTTTTTTTTTTTTTTTCCCCCACCTGCTTCCTTCTCATGTACACATACACCCCAGGCCCAATAAACATGCGAGAAAATCTCTCCTTGCACTTCTGACCCAGACCCGACTGGTGACTTCATGTTTTTCTGCCGAGCCCAGTTTTTCCATTAATGGTAAAATCATGGTGGGATTTCTCCCGAATAACCAAGCATGTTTACAAGAACAGATGTGTATTTATACAGCAGACACCAGAGGAAGGCGTGGTTGGCTACGGGGTGCAAAGCCTACCCTTTGCCTATGACATGCAGTTGGCTTTCCAAATGATTTCCCTCTCACAGTCGATAGACATTGACTTTGGCAGCATCGATAGTGATAGACCATGTATCATGGTTAATCATATCTGCTGAAAGGCTTTAAAAGTTTCTCATATTCTTTTCAATAAAAAAGATAAATTTTCTCATTCAGGTTATTTTTGCCATAGGTCTCCAGTTCATGGTCATTAAATACACTTTCAACCCTGTTTAGCTGCGCTTTATAGCCTTAAGCTGAGGTATGTCTGAAGGGCGCAGTATTTGCATAGGGCCAAATTAAAATACACAGTTTTGCCTCTTGCTTTAAAGAAAACCTAATAATTAAGCTCAGATTGACACAGATCAAAACATTGGCAAAAATTGCTGGAAACAGTGACTCATTTTTTATTTCAATTAACAGTTTCTCAGCTTCACATATAAACAGTGAAACTGTCAAAAATAATTATCACAGAAGGAGGAAAAAACCTGTTTCACTCCAAGGTAAGGAAAATGAGCTAAAACAATAGCTGCATGTACTGATCAGGCTATCAATGAACTGAACTGAATCGGAGAGATTTTTTCTTCTCTTGGCAGGAATCCTCTTCGTACTTATTTTTATGTTCTTTGAAATATTAATAGACTACTTGTCTAATAACCTCTGTTTGTTAAGGAAAGCTTTTGGCTTACAAATTATGTAAGGACAGAAGTATTTAAAATGCCCTTTTAAAAAATATATTTGTACAGTGGAAAGAATAGTTATGGGACTTTCAAAATTTTCAGAAAGATTTTATTAACTAATCACACTTATAATCTGAACTCTGATACCAAACATTTGATTTAAAAATATTTTGTGGCTCTTTTCATTTATTATGAATTTTAACTCATGTTCGATTTCTTTGCTTTTTTCCTGACAAACTCTGGTGAAGCTGAACTAGGTACAAAATTGCAAAATCCATTTTGTTGCTCATAAACTCTGGCATATAAATACAAGGGGAATAAAGTTTCTTAAACCTATGCTGAACTTCATCTGAAATATTGGCATGTTAATTCATCTCCTGTGGAGA